GGTGAAAAAACAATTATTTTCTCTGATTAGGTAAATAATAAAATCTCATGGAAAATTCTCCACAACCACTAAGACTCCTTATGAGTTAAAACTAGACCCATAGGGGTTCCCCTGGGAAGTTCAGTCTAGTGCATTGATGTCAAGGACTTTGGGCCTCTGCCCTCAGAGCAGGGAGCTCCCAAGTGAGCCCACAGACCTCAGGCCTTACCTCATCGCATTTCATCCTCACAGTCCCCCTCTGATGTGTGTGGAGGGCCATTCCATCTTTCAGATGAGAAATTAGTGTTTAGCAATGTTCGTAAACTTGTCCAAGGTTTCATAGCTGACAGTTGGTGGAGCCAGGATTCTTGCGACGGGCGCCAGAAGATGGGGCCATTATTCCATACAATGTGGTAGCTTTCTTTGCAGAGCCACTGAGGCTCAGCATGACACAGGTTTTACTCCCGGGGCTTTCCTGAGATTTTTAGGGGATAGTGATACAGCAACTCTCTGCCTGGCTTTTGGAACTTCATTGCTACTTGGTAAACAATTTTTAAGACTTGAGTTCTGACTCATTCAATAAATTTTTTTTATTATGAGCTAGAACAGCCATACAAAAAAGGTATGCAATTCTTTTCATGCCTTTTGACTGTAGACAGAATTGATCTAATCTGGACATTCTTTATTGAATGAACTCTGCTGGAGCATGAGGTGCCTCTTTGTGGGTCTCTTAGCTGTCAGACTCAGAGCCACTTTTGCAGTGGGGAAGGCTGCTGAGAATAGGTGTGCTTTCCTAGTCCATGGACTCAGGGCCCGTGTATACTCGGGAGTCTGTGCCTGAGCAGGAGAGATTACACATGTTCTGTGTAAATGGACCAGACTTTGTGTCCTGGAGTTTGAGGCCAGTAGAGGCAAACAGGGTGTGGAGGATTCCACTTCTGTCCCTGTCCATCAGTAGGACTGAGGCCCTGTGACATGATGAACTGCTAGGAGGGCATGACTCAGCCGGGCCTGCAATTCGACATGCAGGGAAGAGGGGCAGGCTGTTCCTGACAATTTCCTTTCTATAAAACTTACGTTAAAGAAGAGCTCACATATCAGAAGAAATATGATTGATTGACAAGAAAAAATTTGCTCCATGGCCTTTAGTCTACAGGTTTACAGAAAAATAAGTTAACTTAGAATTTGAATTGTCATAGTATTGGCATCCTCATTTATCATCGTAAATTTTTAGAGACTGGAGTTCATCTGTATGTTAGGACAAATGCAGGGGCATAGACAAATATGCTTATTTTGAGAATTTGTGCCTTCTGTGAGTAAGTGAATTAATTTTTTTCTAGCTGAGAGTAGATCCAGCCACATTAGTAGTTAGGGAATGTGCACACCTAGCTAAGTGAGAGATGGGTCCAGGCCAGAGTGGGGTTTCTAAGGACCGATGATGATGGGAAGGAGATGGGGGAGTCAGGTGGGGAAGACACCTGCAAAGCTAAGCAGGTGACATGAGGTTAGAGGACTTTGAGAACTTATCACTTGGAGGCCAAGGAGGACTCACAAGGGCTCAATGGCACCCAGAAAAGATCAGGAAGCAGGCCAAAGCTGGAAGAAACTGGTGACCCAAACATACCTGATGGTTAGAGCCACCCTAACCCACTGTCTCTTCAGACTAAATATTGACCCAGCATCCTGTTTCAGCTCATACCATATGCCTGGGCCCAGCACGCTTCACCTGCACTAACTTCTTTCTGTTCCTCCAACTTGCCAAGCCCATCCCCACCTCAGGGCCTTTGTGTGTGTCACTCTGCCTACCTAGAATGCCTCCCCTCCGCCATCCCACATTTTCGTGGTTGGTTTATCTGCAGCCAGGTCTGAGTCAAACAGCACTTTTGTCTCTTCTGTCTGAAGCAGCCCTCGGCCAGTCACTGTTTTAGTGTCTTTACACACTCATCAGTTGCTGAGATGGTCTTGTTCATTTTGACTTATTTCGAGTCCTCTGACTGGAATGTAAGTGCTATAACAGCAGGAGCTTTTTTTTTGTTTGTTTGTTTAAATGGTCCTGACATTCCTACTGCCTAGAATAGGACACGCTCATAGCCAGGGCTCAGTAAGTGTCTGTCTTGTGAACGCGTGAATGAGTGAGGGAATGCATGAAGTCAGACACAATTGGAAAAAGACAACCAAATCTGATACATCAGCCAAGCAATCTATAATTAAATTTTGGTTACTAGCTGAGAATAAGAAGTCTGTGCTCTTGTCTTTGTGTGGTGTACTTCTGCACTTTTCTATTACCTTTTACATGACTGACATTGACAATGGACTTAATGAGTATTTTTAGAGAAAAATTTAATGAAATACAATTTTTACAAATTCTACCCTTGTTCCTGATTAATTAAATTGCTCCTTTAATCTACGTGGCTCAGGGGACAAAGCAAGTTTCGGTGTGACAGGACCTACCCATATGAAAGCTAAGAGATCCTCAACTTTTGAGTCATCTTTTGAGTTAAAAGATGTTGAATTTATTAACAAATCATGTTTTTAAAGTACACCTTGAGTTGATATAGAGGTAAAGTGAAAATCAGCATGTGTTTAGATAGCTATTATTTTTAACCTAATAGTTTTATAACTGATCCAAAAGGCAAGATTTTTAATTCTCATGTGTTATGGTGGAATCCATCTACAGGTGAGCCAGGGTTCAGTCTGTGGGCTTGGATGTAATGAATGGATGCTCTAGTTAGCACGGCATAGGGACGTGACCTTCCTCAATTGTAGCCGAGACCGAACACTAATAGCTGGAATGCAGCACAGCTAGGCACACCTGACCAAGACATGTGTTCTGGGCTTCAGTCTCCTCCCTGGAAAATGAGGAGGTGGAAAGGGTAACAAGGTTAAGATGAACAACCCCATTGCTGTGTTCTTGTCTTTATTCTTATGTTTGGTCTTTTACACTGAATCTATGTATACACAGTGCTTGGCAGGAGCTAGTTAATACATTTTATATTTTGAAAAGAGACTTAGAATATGGATAAAATTTAGGCCATCCCCTTCTTTCACCATCACCCATGTCACACCTGCATTACTAGCTTTTAAGCAGCCTCTTATTTCCATCACATTTATCTACGATTTTCCTTCCCTTGGTTGATGCTAATGCCTGTGTGCTTGGGAGATACTATTTAGTCCACAGGGGATGCCCGCGAGCCTGGGGCTCCTGCCAGTGCCTCTGAGGCCCCTGAGATACCCATTTCATAAAAATGTGTCCCCCTACCATTGTGGTGATCGGTCTTCCTGAAGTGCTCTGAGATGGTCAGCCAGGGGACACATGGAGGTTATGTAATACTTTGAGGACAGCAAGCTAAGGTTTGGCTTTTCTTCTTGCTAAGGCAACATTTGCCCTGAGAGAAAAGAAGGCTTCTGCTCAAGCTTCCACAGCAGGCATTTTAAAAAAAGAAGCAGTGCAAATTTTGCTAAATATTTCTACTAAATATTAAACAATTGAACCTCATCATTCTGTTATATATTTTTTCAAAATTCTGCTACATGGATAGATATACAACTCTTCAATGTGTTATGTGTCAGCTAATTAGTGTATTATAGTCCCTCCTGCATTCAATGTTTAGACCATGTTGTTCATATTTTATAGACAGAGCCTAACTAATCTCACCATTTTATATAATAAAAATTTATAGCTTATATGTTTGCTTCTCTGAAATATATTCATAAGAGATATAAGCTATCAAGGCCTTGTTGAAAAAGCAACTGTGTATTTTAGATCTCCTCCCCCACTCATTGTTCCTTTATCATTTAAACAGTTACAGTAAGAAATGTAACTTGTTTCTTGCATTTTTTACAGTAGTGTAAGAAAATACAGAGAAGCATAATGAAGAATATTTTTAAAAATCACTCTTAACCCTACCATCAGAAAATAACCCATATAATCTACGTACTATTTTATAATCTGAGTTTTCTTTATGTAAAATATGAATAATACACTTCATTTAAATAAAGGTTCTTTATAACATGATATTTAATAAAGCATGAGATTGCACCCTGTAGCTGTCTCTAGCCTAACCCCCCATTGCGGGAGGCAGGAGAGAAAAGAAAACAGGGTCTGAAGCAGGCATCCTTGTTGTAACTCACTGTGACCATGGTCACGTGCCCATTCCTTTCCTCAGTCTCCTCATCCACAACATGGAGACAGCAATAGTACCAGCTTTATATCTGGTAATGTAAGGATGAAACAAATCATTATACGTGGTACTTAAAGTGCCTAGAGCACTTACAATAATACTTTCATATATTCTATTATTGAGCATTATCATTCTATCATTATCTATAATTTCATTTTTTCTGATAGAATAATTACCTGGCACATATTAAGTACTCAGTAAACATTCATTATTACCTATATTATTTTAAATTTTTTGATGTTATGATACTGTGATGAGTATCTTGGAAGAAATGCTTTTGCTTTTATCATATTACTTTCCTAAAATGAGTTTTTAGAAGTAGAATTATATCTGTGCTACTTCCTGCTAAATCACCTCCACAGAGGGTGCATGAAATGTCCTCGCTATAGCACTGCAGGTAGAAAGCAGCTGCTCCTTGGTTTCTGGAAGTACATTGTGGTAGAAAATGGCAACGGCCCACATGAGGGTTTTTTGCTGTTATTTAATACAAAATCATTAAATATTAAACAGTTGGGATTTATTTAAATTACTCTCCCTTTCCAATATTGATATATTTGGGCATACAATGCAATATACAGATTGTGTATCATAGAAATGTACACTTGAAATCTACATTACCCTATTTACCAGTGGCACCCCAATAAAGTTAATAAAGAAAAATATTGATAGAGTCTTTATGCAAAGGTATAAAAAAATTAAAAGATGTAAATTTTTGTGTGCTTTGTATATTATATAGTCTGACTTTGCTTGAGAGGATATTTGTATTGGTATGGAAATTTACACTTGACTACATTGTTAAGGGGCGTTCCCCCACTGAAATAATTATTTTCTACTTTCAAGAAAAAAGCAACAAGCCATGGGAGCAGTCAGCCCTCCAGAACCCATGCTGGTGGAACAGCCCCGGCCGCCAAGGTCAGTCATTTCCCAAACACCACCACAATTCCTCTGCGCTGAGGTGTGTCGTTAGTGGGTGGGGCTTACGGGGAAGGGAGGCGGCTTCCGTGTATCACTGGAAGATTTTGAACAAAGTATCATTTCTGCACTGGGGGAATGCAATTTTAATGATTGGATTTAAAACCCAGTAAAACCATTTATGTTATAATTTTTATGGGTATATTTTAATGTGTACAATGAATATTATTTTCATAAATATCTAAATAATATTCTACTTTTGTACATGCTATGAGTAAGAAATATAGTTCTCCCACTTTTTCAGAAAAGAATTCAAATTGTCTTACTGAGCATTAATCATACCAGGCTCTCTTCTAAGTATGCTATATAATTATCTTATTCTCATAACCTTATAATTATTACTCCTTTGTATGTGCCTGAGGAAACCAGAGCTTAGAGAGGTTCAGTGTTCTTGACAAGATCACAAGCCAGTAAGATAGAGGTAAAGTTTGAACCCAGGTTTTTTGTTCACACAAGGTCCTGGACATGCTGGGTCTCATATGATCTGATTGAGTGTTCTTTGGTAATATAACCCATCAAAGCTTTGCAGCCTATAAAAACCACTGAAATGTCACCTTTCAAGACAACAAATGACAATTTTAGCTGGGAGGTTTTAATAATATATAAAATAGTAATGTTTAGCCCATTTCAACTTGTCTTCTTCCAGTATGTCCAAGATAACAAAAAACTTTAACCTGTTTCAAGACTGTCTATACACCTTTTTAAAAAAGATTTTATTTATTTTTAGAGAGTAGGGAAGGGAGGAAGAAAGAGAGGGAGAGAAATATCAATGTGTGGTTGCCTCTCATGCGCCTCCTACTGGGGACCTGGCCCACAGCCCAGACATGTGCCCTGACTGGGAATTGAACTGGTGACCCTTTGGTTCACAGGCCAGCGCTCAATGCACTGAGCCACACCAGCCAGGGCTTATATACACCTTTTTAAATAAGCATTTTTCCTTTAAAACTGGTGGCTCTTCTAAGGGGGTCTCTGGACTTTCTCCTGTAGGTTACTTGCTTCATGAAGAGTTCATACTTTATTGGCTCCTGGAACCCTGGCTGCTTTCCAAGCCCCTAAAAGCTGCCAGAACCAAAACTCAGCTGAGAAATGAGAAGAGGCTGGGCACAGAGTTGAACAGCATCCTAACTAAAAGAGACTTTTCTTGAAATGTTCAGTGTTTTTCAATAGTATTAGGACCTTTATTTAACTTATGCTTAAATTATAAGTATAAATTATGCCTCATGGCAAAACTAAGCTAATGAGATTTCGTAAATCACTTGTATGGTTTCCAGAATTGTTATCCCTAAACTCTTGGAGGATCTGTACAGTGTGGAAAATCATACTCAGTTTTTTCTTTCTCAGTTTTATGACTACCTTTCTTTGAAGGTAGTCATAAGAAGCAGCCCCTTTTCCATCTTTTTCTTCACACAGGAAGTTACCGTTTAATCATTCTGCGGTGGAATGGTTATAAAGAATTTGGATTCTTTATAAGGCCCCAAAGCCTGCTCTGTCTCTGGAAGCTCAGGGAGGGTCTTAGCTGGGAGGTGGAGACATTTTAGCCGCATGTTTATTGTTTTAGTATTTAATGGCGAACCTGACATTCTTTCCTTGGCTTCTAAAACATTGTCCTCTCCTGCCTCCATTCTTCTCTCTCCTGTTATTCTTTCTCAGTATGGTTTCCTGGCTCACCTTGCTTCACCAGTTTTCTGATTATTAGTTTTCCCTGCGTTTAATTCTTCATTCCTTTCTTTCTTGTATCTTTAATTTTTATACAGATTGGAAGAAAAATATATAGTATGCTTGCTTATTTTTTCTTTTGGTCCATAATTGAAAGGGCTTTACCTCAGTATTATCATCACCTAAAAAAAAAATAAAATGAAATCATTCCCATGCCTCATTTAGAAAAGCTGGGAGTAATAGCATTTGTGATCATTTGAAACTTTTATTACACAAGTAATTATCATAACACACACAGGCAAAAATAATATTTTCTCAACACATTCAAAAGGTATGGCAAAATGCTAGATGTAATTTGTGGTGAGAATACCACTTTTCTTGAATCTGGACACATTCTACTTAAAAGTTAAAATGAGTGATAAATTTACAATTATTAAGAAAACCAAATCTGTCTAAAATATTTAATTTGAAGCTTATGTATAAGCTGTGTACTATAGAATAGTCACCATGTATTACAGAACTGTTTTATACAAATTTTTACAAAATGGGGATTACGTGCACAAATAATATCATTCCTGCTGGTCTTGGAAGATCCAAAGTGCTTAAGTGGCATCACTATATCTAACTCAAGTTAATCATTGTAAGATATTTAGTGCAGAAATTATATAGGCTCTTATTAAGCCCATGTGAAAACAGTTTTGATTCATAATATCATGCAATTTTATTGCTGGAAAAGCTCTCAGCAACTTCTTCCACAACTACCTCCCTGTTCAGGTGAGGAAACCAAGGTTGAACCTGAATTAGAAATCTCTCTGGAAGACTACAGCTATTAAGAAGATGTAATGGTTAAGGTTATTAATTGCAATTGGAATCCACTCTGAATAGTTCAAGCTAAAAAAAAAAAAACCCAACTTCTTAAGGCTACCAGTTAGCTCACAGAGAAATCCGGAAAGCTCTGGCAGAGACAATCTCTAGTTTCACAGCAGGAACAATGCCCAGCCACATTGTGGGAGCTTCTGCTGCTGGTACCACAGCTCAGCACCTATCACATTTAGGACTGGAAGCCAGAAACTCTGCCACTACCAGTTTTGAAAACTGACAAGCCTTATCTCAGACTACCCCATGCTTAGGGGCATCCTTACACTGCTTACTTCCAGGCTTATTTTTCTTTGGCACATCTAATTGGCCAACATAAGGCACATGCCTCATCCTTGTTACAAGTGGGGTTGTGAGTATTCTGGATTCTACTTTGGGAAGGCGTGGATTGAGTAGGTGGAAATCATTAATATGTAGTGAGGGTTTGTGAATGTGTGGTCAGCTGCCAACTGACAGATACCCACTACCGAAAGGAAAACAGAGGGATTGCCTAACTCAGTTGTCAGACTCATTTTCACTGGGGGCCACATCAGCCTCTCGGTTGCCTTCAAAGGGCCGAATGTAATTTTAGGACTGTGTAAATGTAACTACTTTTTAACCAGGGGCAAGGAGCTCAGTGCTGCCGCCAGGTAGAAACAAGGTGGAAGGGTTGGATTCTGCCCACAGGCCTTGGCCTTGTGTTTGCCACCTGTGACGTAACTGAACTAAAAGGAACCATTGATGATACATTTAGTAACATTAGGCCTTTTAAACCAAAGAAGGTACAAACAGCTTTTCTTCCCGCTAGAGGGGGAAAAAAATCTAATAAACACTTCTCGGAGAAGTACTTTGTGATTCTGGTCCTGTTTCTGTCACATAGGGCTGTGTTAACTTTGCTGACCCAGCTCTCCTCTCAGCGGCGCTTACTTTTCTCCTCTGCAATACGAGTGAGGGGCTGTGTTGTATAAGGTATTCGGCATTCAGAGCCAGCCTCACCTGCAGTGCCTGTGGTTAGTGAGCTGACTCTGTGTGCTAAATGGGCAAGCATTTTCACTTTCATAATTATGCATGTATCTTAATGTTCCATAAAAAGTGAACTAGAACTTCAAATTCATGATTCCATGACTAGTTTTTCTTGATAAGGCTAAATGAAAAGTAAAACAAAAATAGATCTATATTTTAAAATAATAAGTAAATATAGTATACTAATTGCAAATTAAAAATATATATTATAATAATAGAATTATGTGAATATAAGGATATTCAAATAACAAGTGTTTTGGAAACATGAACAGACGCAGTAACTTTTATATTTGAAGGTGCATATTGATTGAATCAGTGGGGTTTTATTAAAATGGAGACACTCCTTCAGGCAGTCTGGGGGGAAGCCAAGATTCTACTTTTCTGTCAAGCCTCCAGTTGATGCCAAGGTCTGGCAACTACAATTTGAGGAGCAAAGATGCTGAATTGTGTTGAAAGTGGGTGGTTAGAGTACCTGTACCTCAGATTACCTCAACATTGACTGGTAACATTGAGAATCTGGTTAAAACCACAGATTCTCAGGTCCCAAGCCAAGACATTCTGACATTCCAATTCACCAGGGCGAGGTCGGGCCCAGGACTTTATGTATTTAAAAGGTACCCTTCAAGTATTTCTGATGGCGATGATATGAGGACCACACTGGGAGAAAGGATGAGCCCTAGGCACTGGATAGTCACAGAATATTGGGGGATACTAATATCCCTCTTCATCTCTCAGGAAAGGAGCCACTTTCTTCCTGTCTTGCAGGTTATGGATCTTTGGAAAATTTATTACACAACATGCAATTACTCATCAGTACTCTTCAGGAGCACAGAAATACTCGCCTTCATTGTAGGAGATATGTTGCCTAGTACTAAGGACTGCGGGAGCCGGAGTTCACCCCTACTGGGGTGTGGCCCCAATAAGTCACCCTGTGATATTTATGTCATAGGAGCAAAGAATATGAGTGAAACCAAGATAAGCTGAGGTTTAGTTAAAGAAGGAGAAGGGGAAAGGGAGAAAGAAAGAAAGAAAAGAAAGAAGGAAGGAAAGAAAGAAAGAAAGAAAGAAAGAAAGAAAGAAAGAAAGAGAGAAAGAAAGGAAGGAAGAAAGAAAGAAAAGAAAAGAAAGAAAGAAAGAAAGAAAATACTAAGGTTAAATAGAAAAGGACTTTTAAGCTATATTTTAATTAGAAAATTGTAAGGACAGGGTCTTTTGCTCAGGGAATTATAAAATATTAGAGTTGGAAGGGCTCATACTTCACCAGCTTTACTTAACCGAAATAAATGAACAATGACAATAAATAAGGTGGCCGTGAGAAACATCCTGTAGGAGAAGTCATAGGGAGGCCAGCTGCTTTGACTACCCGGTGCATGTTAGGTACAAAGCTGTGCAGATGAGCGCTCCAT